ATTTTTTAATTAATTTTTTGGAGTTAAATATATTATCAATGTGTGTTTTATTACAAATATTTATTAAGCTTTAATGATTATTATTTTATGTTAAGTTAAAAAAGTTGGTTTAGTGCATATATTTTGGTTTTTATTCTTGTAATTTTTTATTGCTTAATTAGTTTTTTAAGTTTATAGAAAAATGCTTATTGTAAATATTATCATTTAAAGGTTTTTAATAATTCTGTAAAATCATTTAACTAATTTTTTTTATTTTATATTAAGAAATAATAATTAAAAAATTAATTCTTTTAAATAAATAGTAAAAATTACATAATAAAAATAAATAAAAAAATTGATTTTATTATTATAGCATAATAATTAAAATAAATAAAAAAAATTATATATTTTTATAAATAAAATATTTTTTTTATATATATATTTTGTTACAATTATATTCAATGTTAATTTTTTTTTTTTTTATTATTAATTTGTATATAAATATATTTAATCTTATTATATTTCAATTTTAATTAATATATATATATATCATTAATATCTTTTTAAAATTTTATTAATATTATAATAAGTAAATAATAATTAATTTAATTAATAGTTTTTAGGTTTTTATTTTTTTATTTTATTAAATTAACTAATATTTATTTAAAAAATTTTCTATTATAAAATTTGAGTCGATATAAATTATTAAAAGTACATTTTCACAAAATATATATAATATTTTTATTTATTTTTTGTAATATATAAAATAAAAATAAAAAATTATTATATATATATATATATAAAAATATAAGCACTTGTTTTTATTTATATAATTTTATTTCTTTTTAGATATAAAAGAAAAATTTCATATATATATTTTATTAAATACTTGACTTTTTTATTTTAAAAATCTTTAAAATCTCAATCTAGAAATTGCTATTTCAAAAGAAAAAGAACAGCTTATTTATCTCGTGAATATAGGTATATTTATCCATTGGATATATAAGACAAAACCTAACCAATATAATTGATAATAAAAACATAAAAGTACTTTGAAAAATTTTTATATATATACTTTATAAAAAATGATTAATATTTGATTACTGTATAAAACAATAATCACGTACTATATGATTTGGAATAAGAATCTAATTCTAGAAAATTAAAAGGCTTATATTTAAAAATAGAATATGAATTATGAGTAATTAATATAGACTAATAAGAAGAAATTTTATATCTAAATATATAATTATATAGATAGTGTAAATTTATAAACACAAAAAATATGATTATCTAGTGTATTTATTATGAAAGATTTAAATTTTTTATAATAAATTATTACTTATATAGAAAATTACCATTTGATGTCAACTTTCAGAATTTTCGATATAGTTTAAACAAAAATAACTTTATTAATAATATTTATTTTAATTTATTATTAATTAGTTTGAATAAAATTTTATTTTAATATATATTTATAAATTTTCTTCAGTATAAATTTGGGGAATATTCCTTTTTCTTTCTATACGTATCATTTTTTCTTGTGTAAAATAGTTAAAGTAATATATTATTATTAATTTATGAAATATAAGATCAAAAAGAAATTAATTTAATTGATTTTTAAGATATAACAGAGATTTAAAAGTCAAACACTTAATAAGGTAAATTTATATAAAAAATATAATCAATCTAAATAAAATTAATTCCTTTTAATATTATTTTAAGACAAGAATACATGAAATATAGCTGATTTTTGGATATGTTTATTTAATTTTTATAATATATAGATAATCCAGGAAACTTTAAGTTATTTCAATTCTTAGGTAGAAAGAAACCGTACTATTTCTTTGCAATTTCTTAAACTGGAATATTAGTCTATTTAGTAAATAGAAATCATGATATATTACTTGTAAATATATAAAATGAAAATAATTCAAATATATTTTTATATTTATATAAATGGCGAAAATATAATTTTTTATTTTCGTTTTTAATACTAAAGTTGGGCTTGTAGTATTAAATATCTTAGATAGAGAAAATCTTAAAAAAAATAATAAATTAAAAATATAAAAGAAAATTCGGAAATTATTATTTTATTTAAAAATATTACTAGCTAATAGAAATTTAAACATTAAAAATTTATCAAAATTCAATATAATTTAAAGGTTAGAATTATTTTTAAGGTTTTAACTATAATTGTATAGTGTTCTTAATTTATATTTAAATGTAAATAACAATTCGATTATCAAAATGTTCGAATTTAAAAGAAATTAAAGTTTTAGCTTATTATGGAAAGTATAAAAATATACAAGCTTTAATACAACTTTTTCATAATATAATAATAATTAACTACTTATTAAAATAGTTTATGTTTAAGAAATTATAATAATTAAAATTTCTAATAATAAAAATTATTATACTATTATAAAATTAAAATTGATTATATATAATAAAAAATATATAAATAAATAATAATATCAAAAATATAAGAAATTTGGATAAAAAAATTTTAAAAAATAATAAAAACTATATTAAAATAAATATAAATTTAAATATACCCATAATAATTTAAAAAATAATATAAGATATTTTAGATAAAATAATAATAATAAAAATAATTATATTAAAAAAATTAAAATTAAATTAAAAAATATTAAAAATAAAAATAATTTTAATAATAATTATAATAAATAAAAATAATTATTTTATTCTAATTTTTTATATATATTAATTACTTAAAGACATATTTTCGTCTTATTATAAATTATTAAGAATTTTTTAAAATATATATATATTTTTATATCTTACTAATATATATATATTTTATATAGAAATGTTATTTTTATATGTTTTTGCTATAATTACTTATGATTTTATGTTTAATTTGTATAAAAAAAATATAAATGATAGTGTAACATTTTTATATAAAAATAATAGAGAAAAAGTAAATAGATATTATTTTTAATTATATAAAAGGATAATTATAATTTTTTATTTAAAATGGATTTAATTAATTTTTTATAAAAAATTATAATTTTTATAAACTATATTTTTTATAATTTTTATTTTTATATGATATTTTTTAATTATTTAGTTTTTATGAATATTCCTTATTATAAATATTTAAATAAAGAAAATACTTATTAATTGTTTTATATAATTAAAATTTCTACTCTTTACTTAATAGGTATAAATAAGATATTTTTCTAATAAAATTTTTTATAATAAATATAATAAAAGTATAAAAGTAAAAATAAAGTAATATATAAATTAGAATGAATATAAATATAGTTGATTTTTGAATTTGAAAGATTATTTTTATATTTCCATAAACATATATAATAAACTAACTTCGAAAAATTTAAATTAAAATCTAAATCTTTAGAAATTTATACTATAAAGAAAATAAAGATTATAATTAAATTATTATTGAATATAAAGAATTCATTTTATTTTGCTAATCAAATTAAAGAAAATAAATAAATAAAAAAATATTTTTATTTAATATTTAAATATATAAATATTTTTTATTTTTTCATAAAAACTTAAAAAAATAAAAAAAAAGATATGAATTTATAGATAATAATTTTTTTTAATATTTTTTTTTTTTTTTTTTTCACAAAAAAATTCAATTAAAAATAATATTATGTTTGTAAATAATAATTTTATTTAACTCAAGACTTTATTTATATAATTTTTTATAAAAATAAAGTAAAAAACATATTAAAAATTTGTTATTTTCTTTTAAAAAAAAAACTCTTAAAAAATAAAATATTAATATAATTAAGAAACTGTAGTTTGTTTATTTATTTATTTTAAAAAATATATTATTATAAAAAAAACATTAAAAATGTATTTAAAAAATAATAAATCTAATTTTTAAATTAAAGAATATCGAAATTAATCATAATAATAATGCAATAGACCCTAAACATAATAAACAAAGATTCGAATATTACCATTTTTAAAAAATACTTAGTAAGAAGATACTAATAATATTCGTTTAACTTTAAATTCTTAACAATCTACATAAAGAAATACATAAACTCCTTACAGCAACACACTAAATGAATAAAGATAATATTTATATAAAAAATATAGTTAATCATATACAAAATAAATGAGGAATAGTTAAAATGAATTACTCACAGATACTGTTAAATTTTTAGTAAGAAATAATAATTAAAGTCCGTTTTCTCCTTATAAAACAGTAGAAAATTTCTCTCCAGCTTTATAATTTAATATTGAATAACCTTTTTTTTTAAATTTTATGCATAAAGAAAACATTCCTACTTATAACATTCATCTCCCTGTTCTTACGTAAGAATAAGTGGATGAATAATATCGATTCAAATATACAAATGATATTTAAAAACTTGAAAATCCTATATCTACTTTATCTTTAACAAATGGATTTTAGCATAATTTTCCTTTCGTGAATGTAAATATATATATTTTTTTTAATTTATTCTATTTATTTTTTTTATTAAGAAAACAATTGAATATGCCTAAAATTAATTAAATGAATTAAAAAGTTTAAAAAATGAATTAAAAGTCGAAATTGAATAAATGAAGAAAAATTTCTAGAATGAAATGAATGAAATAAATCAAATAAAAATTTAAAACTAAGAAATAATTTAAAAAATAATTAGAAAAGATTAACTAAATCATTAAACTTAAAGCTTTTGTTTAAATAAGGAAATTGTAAAATTAAAAAGGGATAAAATAAATTTGGAAAATCAGATAAACTTTTCTTTAATGAAAATAAAACAATTAGAATAAAAACTATTTAGTGAGGAAATATTTAATATAAATGCACCTTAAGATAATGTTATTTAAAATATTTTAAATGAAAATTTAAGGGCGGATGCTTATTGTAAAATTAATAAAAAATTAAATGAAAAAAATCAAAAAATTAAACATTTAATACATTGAATTATTTGTTTTTTATTTATATATATTTAATAAAAAAAAAAACCTATATTTATTTCTTATATATATATATATATATTTTTTAATATTCATAAATTTTGTTTATACTAATCTAAAAACTTTTTCAATTTAACAGATACAACTGCTTTACAATATCCTTATTCTGTGTTTTAGTCATAATAATCTTAATGATATTCTTCGGCTTCATAAAATTCTTCGAATTATTTAATTTCTGTTACTATTTTATCTTTATTTGGTTATTAATTAAGTATTTTTTCACTAATTTCTTTTTATTATTAGTTTCTATATAATATTATTGAGCGATATTATGTACCGATATCATTTCCTTGTCTATTTAATTATGTTGGATCATGTATCTTTAAATATTATATAAATATTAATTAATATTTATTTTAATTACATGGAAAAAAATATCTAATATATTTTCATATAAAATTTTTTATATATCGAATTCTATTTAAACAACTTCGGCATGACCTGTAGTTCCTGTACATATTTCTTTATATGTTGGATTTTTTACTTATCCAGACGAATAACCTGATTTTACGTTTATAACGCCTTTTACACGTTTAAATATAGCGTGTAAACACCAGAAGCAACCACCTCCAAAAGTAAATGTATGTATATTACTTAATTAATTCATTTAGAAATTATTTTAATAATATTTTATTAGATTGAAGAAGATTTATTTTACAATTAATTTTATTAATAAATATAAATTTAAAATAGAAAATTCTAGGAATATACAAAATTAATGGAATTATTTACAATAATAATATAAAAAACATAAAATTAATGTATAAACTTAAATAAAAATAAATTTAAAAATAAAAAAAATTATATTAAAATAAAAAAATTAAGATATTATAAAAAAAACTAATACTAAATCATATGAATAAAAAAAGATATTAATAAAATAAATATTATAATATAAAAATATTATGATTATACTTAAATATATATATATATATATATATATATATATATAATATATATATATATATATTTATTTATATATTTTTTTTTAGATTAATTATGTTATGCTTATTATTTTTCATTTTATAATATCATTTTTATCTGTAAAAACTTCTATTAATTTTTAATGTATAAGTGGTATTATAGTTGCAAAACTTATTACTAGAGTAGTAATAGTTTCTTCAAAATTACAAGATATTATTTTAAATAATTTATATTTGTAATTTTCCTTATTTTAATCTATTGACTATTTTATTTTTTTAAGAGATTTTTTAGTATTTTTCATATATTATATTTATTATTATTTATTCGACGCCCCTATTTATTAGAAATTAGCAATATTTTTAATTTTTAAAATTGTCACTAAATACAAATCATTAGTAATTTTATCATATATTTTGGGGTTGAAATAATGATCGTATAATTCAATAAGGTCATCGTACATTCCAATTAATTAATCCACAAGATCTATCTATTTATCAAAAATATCATTGAAATTATTTCCATCATATATTCTTTGTAAAAATATTATAGTTATTAATATAAAATCTATTGTTATATGTATCATTATTAATGGATTATTATACTGAGATTTTTTTGATAGTAAAAAGTCGAATCCTGAATAATAAGAAGCACAAAAAACAGTAATAAAACAGAAATAAAGTCCTAAAAACATATAACTTATTTCAAATGTTTCTGTGTTAGGTAAATCGAATTCTAAAGCTATTTTTCGACAATTATCCCATGTTTCAATGCTTAAAGGACATGTAATATCTAGTTTTTTTCTGATGAAAACAGGATCAATATGTTTTAATTATTAAAAGCTTATGAAATAGTTTCTGTCTTCAATTTCAAAATCACTAAAATTTATTAATTAATTGAGTTAATTTTATATTTATTGCCTTCTTCTTAAATCTTTTTTTTTACAAAAATAAAATAAAAAAATATATAATTAATTATTATATTTTCTATAAAAAAAATTAAACTCACCTTAATTATTAATAGTTTAGTAAAAAGAATTGATTATATATAAATAAAAGCCACAAACAAAAAAAAAGAAAATAATATTAATTTAGTTTTCGCTTTGCTAATATAAATAAAATATAGGAATAATAACCTTTAAAAGTACAGTAAAGAATATTATACTAAAAGGAGTAGCTTAATCCTTATATTTATTACTTGCGTATTTATAATTAATAAAAAGTATACTTTTTATTGCATGATTACTTACTGTACAGTTATTTAGCCTTATTTCTTTCAAAATATTTTTTTATTCGTTAGTTTAAGATATTCCAATAAGATAAGGATTTTATTATTCGCAATAATTAATTGTATCTTATATATATCCATAATAAAATAAAGAAAGATCAATTTTTATTTTTCTAGAAATTTGTTAAACTTTTTACTCGAAGTTATTTTCTTTTATTTCTATTAGGAAATTTTTTTTATACCTAGAACAGTCTTGGAGAATATTATATTTTTTATAAATAGAATTAGAAATGGACCATATTCCTTTATAACTCATGTATTTTATTTTGGCTTTGTTTTTTAATAAATTCATAAAAGTCCGGTTTTATAAATTCTAATATATATACATTTCTAGAAAAACTAGCAGGAGAATAAAAAAAACGAAAAAAACAATGCATACTTCTGCAAAAATATTATAACAATCATAAAATTAGTACAATTAAAAATAACTATAACATGCAATTAGGCCAGTAATACTTATTATTTGAAAATTATCTCCCATTTTGCAAATTAATACAAGTAATAAAGTCTTAAAAGACAATTAGTTGCTTTAATATAATTAAAATAAATCTAAAATATAAAACATTATGTTAATAAGTAATCCTAATGTGGGAATTATTATCAGATCAATTATAAATGATAAGATTATGAATATTAAAAGCGGAGTTTTTGATATTTTGATAATTGACTCCTACTTTTCTACTAGGAAAGGAATGTATTTTATTGAATCATCATATATCCCATATTAAGAAATGTCTTCATATTAAAAATCGTCTTTTTAAACTTTATCAAATTTCGATAAGGCAGATATGTAATTTTTAGTTGTTTTTACATTTTCATAATCTTATTATTCCTCTTTATATGATAATAAATCACTAGCAAATAATTATTGGAACTTTTTATTAGTATTAGATATTAAATTATTGCTTTATATTTAGATTGGATTTTTTGAATTCATTATTTTTTTTAAATAATATAAAAATATAAATAGTTATTAAATATAAATTTATATTTATTTTAGATATATTTAATTATAATTAATATATTTATGTATATTAATAAATAAAATGTTTTTTATTTAAATGAAACATTTTTATTTATAAAGAATTTATTTAGTTTTATTAAATCATTTTTTTACTCATTTATATTTATTAAGTATTTTTTTAAAAAAATAATATATTTACTAAGAATACTGAATTTTTTTTAAGAATAGATTTATGCAAGTAAAAACATATGTTGAGATATATAGAAATATTATATTATTCATATATAATTTAATTAATATTAAAGTATAAAAATAAATAATTTAATAAAAAAGAAGCCTTTTAGATTTTATTGTTATTTGTTAATTTTTTTAATTAAAGATATAAACAATATTAAATTCGTTTTTTTTATATATATTTAAAAAATAATGAGCTCTTTATTGAACAAAAATATATTAATTTACGGAGCTGCTACAACAGCTTTATTATCCTCATTTTTTTTAGGATATGTATATGTCTAAAACAGACAAGATTAAAATAGGCTATAATAAATATTAGATGAAATAAAAAAAGATGCCGAAATATAAAAGAATGAATAAAATCTTTAATTTTATGATATAAAAACAGTTTGTAAATTGCAACAGCTTTTTGTAGAATTATCCTAAGATGAATATTAAGAAATAACTATATTAAGTCGAGAAAGTAAAGAAATATAAAATATTATTACATATATATTATTTTAATTTTATTTTTGTTATAAATAAAAAAGAAAGAAGACCATTATTTAATGTTGATTTAAAAAAATATTTAGAAGAAGCAATTAATTATAATATTATTTTTTTTAGATTATTTAAAAAGCAATAAATAGTGTTAGATTAAAACAAATAACTTGATCTTTAAATATTTAATTAGTCAGTAAAATAATACATAAAAAATACTGAATATTAATAAACATTATAAAAATCAATAAGAAGGTTGAAATGTTCAATTTAGCCTTCTAAAATACTTAGTCTATAAGAAGCTAAAAATACAGTTGCTTTATAAATTTAATTTATGTATAAAAATCCAGAAGTTATTCTTAATTTAATTAAAATGATGAGAAATGTGCAAAATATTGAGACTATTCTTTATGGGGTTTTAAATACTATTGTTTGTGATATTTCCTTTTCTGAAAATGGAGTTGAAGAAGAAGAATATATTTATATTTTAGATTCTGAGGAAAATATTAATGATTAAGAAGTTTAAAAATTAAAAGAATAATATGTACTGTCTATTGTTCATTTAATGGTTTATAGTAATTAAAATGAAAAATGAATTTATATATAGATATAATTAAAAATATATATATATATATTAATTAAATTAATATAATTATTTATTAAAATTTATATATTATTATTATTTTTTATATATTATAAAAAAAATATATTTACTTTAATTAGTCTACGTCATGTTAAAAATGATATTTTTTAAATTACAAAAGAGCTAATAGTTGTACTACTACTATTAGTATATAAAATACAATAGATATCCTAATCATAAAAAAAAAATTCTTTGGATAATTTTATATTCAAAATGTAAAAATGAAAATAGAATATAATAATCATACTTTTTTAAATTCATATTTTAATCATCATTATAAAAAAAAAAATAATTCAATAAAAAATGTTATTTTAGAAATTATGAAAAAATATTTCAAAAAAAAAAGAAAAGAAGGTGTATTATAGGTTTATTTTCTTAAAATAAAAATAAAATATAATATAATAAAATAAAGATATTATAAAAATAAATAATTATATATATATTATATTATAAAATAAAGCTAAATATAGTAAGGTAAAAATAGTTATTTTAAGTATTTATTATGAAAGATTATAAAATAACTAATTTAATAAAAGAAATTTATGATAAATAAAAATATAAAAGAGTATTTTGAAATAAAAAAAAAATTAATGGAAAAATAAAAAATATTTATATAATAATATAATAACATAAAAAAGAAAAATATTATTAAATATAAAAAATAAATAATAAATAAAAAAATATATAAATATATAAATATATAAATATATATTTACTAATATATATATATATTTATTTTTTTATATATTTTTATATTTTTATATTTTTATATTTTTATATTTTTTATATTTATCTATTTTTTATTTTTAAATTATTATATATTTATATTTATATAAATTTATTTATAATCGAATCTCTAAAATTTATATACATTATTTATTTATTAAATATTAAAATATAATAATATTAATTTTTTTTTATAATTAATTTTTTAATATATCTTTTAATAATAAAATATCTTAATATAATATTAATATAATTATAAATTATATTTAAAAATATTTTTTTTATTATTTTTTTTATTTAAATTTTTAAAAAATTATTCACTACAATAATATTTATTGTAATTATTAATTAAATATTTATCAATCCATTTAATATTCTTTTTTAAATTTCTACGTATCACAATTAAGATATTTTTCAAGTTCTTTTTCATAATTAAAATCTTTATTGGGATATTTTTTCCTAAACATTTTTTCTAAATTATCTTTTAAAAGTTCTTAATTTTATTCCGCTTCTCTTACTGCAATATTGTTAGCTTATTCAATAGCTTCAGCTTAGGCTTATCCAAAATTTTAATCTAATTTATTAAAGAAATCTTCCGCAGTCCATTAAGCATCTGGAACTATAAATAATCCTCTTCCTAATCCCATTTAAGTCATATATTCTGGATTGGGTTATTCTTAGTAAAAATATCTGAAATATGTTCTTCTGGTTGAAAATCCTAATATTTTATCAACATTTATATCTTTTGATTTTATTTAATTTGCTTTATGTCCTTTTTATTAGTACAGATAATCTGATGGTTCTGAATTGCGTTTTTTAGCATTTAATACTGTTTTTATATTAATTTAATTTTTTAATTATTAAGATTATATGCTTTATTTTAAAATTTATCTCATTTATTTTTGTTATTTTTTATTATATTTTATTTTTACATATATATAAGTATTTATATAAAAAACAAATTAAATATAAATATTTTTTTTTATTAAAATAAATAAAATTATTATAAAAAATTTATTATATATTTAAACATATTTTATATAAAAATACTTTTTTTAAAAAATTCTCAATTATAATAACAAACATATAAAATATACTAAGTTAAATAGTATTTAAATTAATAATAATAAAAAAAACTTTAAAGCAAATTATCTTGAAATCCAATAATACAGCAAGCTAATATTATACTAGAATGTCTTTAGACTTTTTATCCTTAATTATTTCCTTTTACTAAATTATCATCTCCGGTACGAATAGATTTTCCAAATACTTAGTATAATCCATCTAATCTTATTTAACTATCAGAAATTTCAAAACTAATATATCTAGTATCTTCTTTACTACAAATTTTTTCTAAAACCATTTACATGTCATTCAGAATATTAAAAATTTACATAAGAAAGATTTTGATAATAAATTAATTCATTTTTTTGTTAATTTATTAAAAATTATTTATCGTTGGTTATTTGTTTATTTGATTCACATATTTATGTTAAGAATCTATATTTATAATTATATATATTATTTTATTAAAATTTTATATAAATATTATATTCAATATATATTTATTATTAATATTGATTATTTTTTTTAGTATATTTTTTTTTTATATATATATTTATTTTATATAAAAAGATATACAAAATTAAATAATATAAAATGTAAAAATAATTCATTTATTTTAAAAAAGAGCATCGAAAAATACAAAGCGAATATCACCTACTTCCGCAATTTATAATAAAAACTGATAAAATCATTAAAAAATATCCTATATATAATAACTAATAAAATATATAAAATTTTCTTTAAAATAAGTTATCAAAAGTAAATATAAACCGAACAGTAAGCTAGGAACCTTATAAAAATTCGGATTATAAATTAAAAAATCAATTTAAAATATAAAATAAAGTATAACAAAAAAACATTAATAGTTTTTCTTTAAATTACAAATAAGATAATATTTTTTAATCAACTTATTAGTTTTAACATTGCAAAAAGGAAATACCTAAAAAAGTTGATTTTTATAAACCTAGTAATACTTTTGATCCATATTTTAAAATCCCGTTTATTTAAGAAACAGAATATAATTGTAATTTTAAGGATTTTAAATTAATAAAAGAAAATTTTAGTTAAAAAAAATAAAAATTATAAAAAAAAATAATTTAAGAAAATACACATAACAAAATAGTTAAATTTTCATAAAAAATAAACAAATAATTTCAATATGACTAATAATGTGCGTTATAATTTACTTAATAGTAAAATCATAATAAATTTTATAAATAATAAAAGAAAATAAAAAAATAATAGGATTGAATATAAAATAAAATTAATTATATATGAGATATATATTAAAATAATAAAAAATAAAATATATCAAATACATAAATAAAATATAAAAAATATGATATGTATATATATATAAAAAAAAAAATTATCTACAAATGTTTTTAAAACAAATCAAATAAATATATTAAAATAAAATTATTAAACTAAAAAAAAAAAAAATTGAAAATAAAAGATATATATATATATATATATATTTATATATTTTTTTATTTTATTTTCTTAATTTTTAATATAGTTATTTATTTTATTAATTTTTTCTTTTATAAAATTTAAATTTTTATATTTTTTTTTTATATTAATTTAAAACTTATTATTTTATTTACAAAATTCTTTTAAGAAATAAAATAAAATAAAATATTATAAATCATTCTTTCCAAAATTACTCTAAATTATTAATTATACTTTAAGTTATAGCTTTTTATTTATTATATTTAATTTTTTTTCTTTTTTTTTCTATTTCAGTTTCTTTATTATTATTTATATTTTTTTCATTTTATTTTCTTTTTCCATTTTCATTGTATTATTTTAAATATTTTTAAATTATTTCATTTCTTTCTTCTTATTCTTTATTATAAATCAAATAATTTTAAAAGAAGCTTTTTAAATTATTACTTTTTAAATTATCATTAACTAAAGCCGCAAAATCATCCTTTTAAAAGTTAAAATCGTTCTTATTTTCTTAATCTAGATTATTTTTAAGTTTCTCTTGCTCTTCTTAATCCAAACTCATTGGAAAATAATCACCTTTATCATTTTTTCCAAAAATTTATCCCAAAATACAACCTTAATTATTCATATGAAGTACTAAAAAGCCTTTAAAATCTTCTATATTTATAAAAGATAATGTTAATCCTTCTATTTTGGAAAAGCCTTGTATTATATTAGGGCCTAGGAATCCTTTAGGTTTAAAGCTTCTGCATTTTTCTACAAAACAAAGTCTTTCGTTTTTGAATTCTCGCCCTAAAGCCATATTTTTTTCTTCTAAAAAATAATTTTTTTCAATTAAAATTTCCTAACTATTAATTTTCATGAAAAAAGAATCTCCGTTTTTTACCGATGAAAAAAAAGTCACAATTTATTCATTTTATTCTTTATCTTAAAAAATATCTATATTATTCAAAGGACATTCATCCGATCCATGAAAAAAAGATAAAACAGGATAGTTTGTGCACCGAATATCGAAAATTTTTACACATTAAGTGTTACTTGTAATAAAGTAATTATCTTTTAAATGCTTTAGCCCATAAATGCGATTAAATAGAACTCTTTTAGGCTCTAAACTGTATATTATATTCACTTTTTGGTTATCTCGGATATCTAAGAAGCCTATTTTATCAGTCATTTAAATAAAAAGGCAATTAGGGTGATGTGAATTGTCGATTTAGTGTATATTTTATTCTAAATAAGAGTATTAATTTAATATATTAGGAACTTAATTAGTATCTTTTTGTGAAAAAATAGTATTTTTTTCAGTTAAAACATATTGCTCATTATCAAAGAAATTACTTTGAAGAATTTAGTGTATTTCACAGCTTTGATTTTATTTATTGAAATAATAATTTATTATTTTTTATTTTAATTTATTATTTTTTAATTCTAATATTTAAGTATTATATATAGTTCTTATTTATAAATATTCTTATTCATCTTTAATAAATATTTTTTTTATATATATATAATAAATTTTTTTCTACCTATATTTAAGTCTTATAGACCTAAAATTTTTGAACATTCTTATAGATTTTCATATTAGAATTATTTATTTTTAGATTGTAAATTAAATTAGAAATCTTCTGTCTGATTAATAGATAGATGAAGAGAATTTAATGTAGGTTAAGTTTGGTTTGGAAATATAAATATAAATTCGTTTTCTTTATTAAGTGTTTTTTTAAGTATAGCAGTATTGGAACGCCTTTTTTATAATGGAAATATTTTATTTTGTTCTTAAAGGGATTTTTAAATTATTTCTAATTTAAAATAATCAGTTTTATATTATTATTGAATGTAAAAAAGCTACTTTTTTTATTAATAAAAATATTTTTTAAGATATTATTTTTATTACATTATTTAAATTATTTGAATATATACCGTTTTGTTGTTTTATCGATTTAATTAGGGGCATTTAAAGTATTTTGTATTTTCCTTAATTTAATTATTATAATACTTTTATTTATGATGACCAGTTTAATTAATCTTTATTTGCTTGTCTTTTTATTTCGGAAAATATTTAAAAATCGTATTATTAAAATTCTTTTTTTTTAATATCGTTAAGTAAATTTCCAACTTATTAAATTTTCTAAGAAATAACATAATTAGGATTTGTAAAATCTTCTTCCATTTTTATATTTTGTAAATAAGTTATTTATAATAAAATTATTTTAATTATAAAATATATAATTAACACAAAATAATTTTATATATAAATGATTTTTAATTTATTAAATTATAATTAAATAAAAAAATAAATATGTTTAATTATTTATATATATATATTTATATATTTATAAATATATATATATATATTATTTTTATAATCTATTATATTTTTATTATTTTACTATTTTTTTTTTCATTTTTTTATATAAATAAATTTTATTTTTTCAAATATATTATAATATTAATATATTAAAAATTCTTTTTAAAATATATTTATTTATTTATATAATTTATTTATTTTTTTTAATTTTTAAATTATAATTTTAATGTTTTTTTTATTTTTTTAATTATTTTTTTTAAAATATAACTATATAATAAATAATACTTAAGAAAATAATAATATTAAAAAAATTCATATAAAATCAAATTATAGAAATGAGTGATAAACAAAGAGTTGTTAAAATTTTAGTTATTGGTCCAATTTAAAGCGGCAAATCTTCAATATCTAATTTTTTAGGTTAAAGGTCTGAAGTAATAAATAAAGATTACAGACCTACAGCAGGTGTTCGAATTGTCGAATTTAATAAAGAAGCTCCAGTAAATCCGAAAAGGCCTGGTTAGGAAACTGCTAGTGTATAATTATGGGATGGTAAAAAATAGAAAAAAATATAAATAAATAAAATTTATATATTTTTAATAATATAAAAGTTTCTGGGGATTCAAAGTAAATTATTATATATAATATAATATGCTTATATATATATATATATATATATATATATATATATATATATATATATATATATAATAGATATGATTAAACATGGCCTGCTATTTAAAAAAATTGCTAAGGATGTATTTTAGTTTTTAATGCCGAAAATCCTAAACATGAATAAGAAATTGAAGCCTGGGTGAATGCATTTCCTAAAAAATGTGGAATTTAACCTTCTATGTTAATAGGTTTTTTTTAATATATTTATAAAAAACTATCATATTTTCTAATTTTATTTTAATACATAGCTTTTTCACATTTTTTATCAGGAAAACCTGTGCCTAAAACTAAATAAAGATAAAGTTTATATTTAGAATTCTTTATTTATATATTTTAATTTTATTATATTTATATATATATATATATTTTTTCTTTTCTTTTTATAGTTAAAGGATTGCCAACTGTTTCTTGTTACAATACTTCTATTGAAGAAGGAGCAGAAACAATTCATCCTGCTTTCGATAAATTTTTTAATAATTTGATGATGAATATTTATGAAAAAGAAGAATAACTAGAAAACAATTTAATGTAGGAATGATATTATATAATACATATTTATCTTATTTATAATTATTTAATTTTTTTATTTCTATGCATTAAAATTAAAATAATTTGAAATTTTTTAAATTTTTATATTTTATTTATATCTAATTTTTGAATTATATATTTTTATTTATATAATTTTTTTTTTTTATATTTATATATACATAAAATAGTTTTAAGTATTTTTTTTTATATAAAATATGGTATTTTTTTTTTATGTATGTAATTAAACATGTAAATTACATTTCATGTAATTATAAAATATATTTTTATATAAATAAACAAAAATGAAATAATAATTTTTATAAAATTATATGGTCAATTAATTAATTTTAAAATAACAATTTTATTTATAAATAATTTAATTTATTTAAACTTCTAAAAATATATTGCTTTTTATTTTCATTTAATAACAATTTTTTTTAAAAAAATTAATATGAGTTTAAAAAATTTTTAATTTTATTTTCAGAATATATTATTTAATCCAAATGATTTATCATTTAATTTTTTTATAAATTAAATATAAAAACAGTATAGTACAATAATAAATAACTATTAAAGATAATTATAAAGGGTTAAAATTAATCTAAAATATTTAAATCTAAAAATATATAATTTTTCTCTCTATAAAAGATTTATTTTATTTTAAATTTAATAATAGAAATACACATATTTTTTTTTTTTAATTAAAATAAATTATAACTAAAATTAAAATATAAAAAAATATATTTATAGATACAAATATCGTATATAAATTATAAACAAAAAAATATATTAATTATAATAAAAAAAAAAAAATTAACTACTTATAAGAAAAAAAAAAAAATCCCAAAAAAAAAAATATGTCTGACACCTAATAATAATAATAAGTTAAGTACTGTAATAACTTCCAAAGAGATGAATGCAAATACGGTGAAATTGCAAATACGTTCATGAAAAAAACCCTAACTTCAACGAAAACTATCACAATAACTCTAACCAATAACACTAAAAATAATAATAATAAGTATGCTTCGCATTCTAAAATGGACACTGTAAATTCGGAGACAACTGCAAATACTTACATAACACTCATAAATCTTCCAACAATTAATAACAAAGAAACGTATGTCATGCTTTCTAAAGAGGAGAATGTACCTATGGTGATAACTGTAAATACAGTCATAATGTAGGAAAAAAAGTATGTCATGCTTTCTAAAGAGGAGAATGCTCTTACGGAGATAACTGCAGATATTCACATGAAAAAAGCGGTAGTAACCAAAATAATAATAATGATGGTCCTTTAAGAAGATAGAGAAAAGTATGTAGAGATTTCTAAAATGGAGAATGCAAATATGGTGAAAACTGCAAATTCAGCCACAATTTGAATGATGAGTAGGAAGATGAAGACTAAAATGAATAAAAAAATCAAAGAAATAACAATTACAGAAATAACCGTAACAATGGAGGCTATAGAAGAAATAACAGAAATGACGACAACAGAGGTTCAAGACCCTGCAGAGATTTCTAGAATGGAGAATGCAAATATGGAGATAACTGCAAATTCAGTCATGAAGTTGATTAAAATAATTGATTGATTTATAAAAGATGATACATACATCTTTTATTATTTATATATATTATTTTTAGGAAAGAAAGGAAAAGATTTGGGAAAAAAAAAATATTATTTGAAAAAAAAAAAAAAAAAAAAAATAATTTATATTTTTATTAAAAATCTGCACGTATTTTTTAGTATTATTTATATGTGTTTTGTTTTTCTTTTTATGATTTTTATTTTCCCCTTTCAAAAAATATTTTTTTTATATTTTTTTATTATTAATTAATTATTTTTAATTAATAATATATACTTTATTTAATATTTTTAATTAATTTAATTTCCAACAATTTAAATTTAAAAAAAATAGAGAGCCTTTTTAATTTGATTTATAATAATTTAATAATATTAAAATATTTTTTTTTTCTATTTTTTTTTATTTGCTTAAAATATTTTTTTTACATAATAATGAAAAAAAAAAAATACAAAATTTTTATTTTTTAATATATAAAATGAAATTTTTTAAAATTTATTTCTAATAATTAAAGGATTTTCAAAGATAAAATAATAATATGAATATTTCATTTTTTATTAAGTAATAT